AAAAGGAAATCTCATGCCAATCTTGACCTTTTTCCATAAGTACACTTCTGGGACACCAGTCTATAAAGGAATAATTGAATTTGCGTGTAATCCGCCCATGGTACGGATCTCTGCAAGATTGCCAAGGGCCCATATCACCTTCCTTACAATGAGGAACACAGCTACTGGAATACAAATAGGAATGTGAGGTTTGAATTCTCAACAAGGTTACCATCTGAAGGAATAGAAGTCAAAGTCAGTAAGACAAAGCGTTCTTTTGACATTCGTATCTTCCAAACCTGATTTACAGAGTCTTGCTGTAGTCTAGTCACACATAAGGGAGGATATACAAAATGAGAGATAATATTTACTTTAGCTCATTCTTGTAGATGCATGAAAATATGAGGGCCTGGCAGAACAGTAAATGTAGGATTTTTGCTTAAGGGTCTGAGCAGAAGTGGCTTATGTATGTAAGTCCAGTACTCCTCTCCCTGAACCAAAGGAATACATGTTATAGCTGTTAGGATAACAAGCATTGTAAAGAAAAAACTGTCCTCTGGTCACTGAGTAGATGGCAAGCCCCATGAACGGTCTAGTGCAGGGCTTTCCAGGACAGTGGGCTATGCACTGTCAGGTTCATTGCTCATTGACATGTCCTCGCCAGCAACAGCTCTGATGGTCCTAATTATTTGCAATGCTTAGAGCCAATTGAAGAGAGAAGGAAATACCCTAGCCAGCCTTTTACATATCAGTATAAGGAAATCAGTCTCCAAATAATCAAAGTCGCAATAACTGTTTTGGCTTCAGAGGGAGTCACTGGAGTTGTTTCCCACAACTTGGAGGTAGCCCAGGCCTGAGGCAGTAGAAGCAAAGAGCTCACACCACTTCGTGGAACATTGCTATGGAAGGAGATGGGTTTAGTTATTTTTGCTAAGTCTGTAAAAGCCTAAATAAGTCTACATAAGATTAGTGTCTAACAAAGGTTATGCCATATGTTTCATCTTGTGCTGTGGTCTACCTACAAAATATACTAGAGGATCTTGAATATAAGACAGCTGGAAGGAACAAGAGTCACCCTGTGTAACCACCCTTCCGGTGCAATAATCTTTCTATAATACGCAGCCACTTTGATCACCTCCAGACCTGGAAAATCATGACCACCTGATGAGCTCAGTCTTTAGCAAGCTGACAGTATTTCCTTCTTACATTGACCCCCAAGTCTCTATGGGGCTTTCATTCATTGTCTGTCGGGGTCGCTCCCGGCCGGCAGGAAAGACACACGACAAAGTCTGGCGGTGTGCAACCTTGCCTTTATTTGTCTCCGCGTGGGCCCTGCGAGGCCTCCTCTCTGCCACCAGCCCTTTCTCGCCGGTGGACTTTCTCTATTTCTCTCTGTGCTTTCTGTGTGTTTCTCTCGTGGCGGGAGAGGCATTTACTTTTATAGGGCAACAGTAGCCAATCAGTTTAAAGCGCGCGATGCGGGCTGACTGGCTAACATCAGCTGTTGCTAGGCAGACTATCTTACAGAGCGGGTTGTTTAAGTCGCCAGCGCAAACAGGGGGCAGGAAGCAGGCGCCAACTTGACTCACTCGATGGGAGGGGCAATCTAGCTCAGGCTCCGCTCCCACCCACAGGCCCTACGTCCGCCAAGTAAGGCGACCGGTGTCGGCGGCTCCCAATAATTGTCCTCTTTTTATCTGCAAAATAAATCTAAGTCCCTTTCCACTTAGTACCAGACAGTTGGTCATTGATAGCCACTGTGTCCCCCTGACCATCATCTTCTTCAAACTAGATGTGCTGGTTCCTTTTTTTGAAAAAGACTGCTGCAGAAGCCATAGCTTCTACCTCATGTTGATTTAGTTAGTTTACTCTTTTTTTTTTTTTGTCTTTTACTCTTAAAACTACTTTTGTCCAGAAGTATTCAAAACTTTAAATATTTTTAAATATACTTTTCCCATTCTGATTTTCTCCAAAACTCTACCAAGAGGAACTAAATTGTTTCATCTTCCACTATTTTCCTTATGAAAATGAAGGCACAGCCCATGATGAAGAAGTGGGAGAGAAAACAGAAATTGAGGTATACAGAAAGGTACACTGTTTCCACTAGCAATTTGATCATCAATTGATTAAAACAACTATTTGGCTACATTGCTTTAAGTCCCACGTGACTCCTGAGGTTCAGAAAGTAAATCTGGAGAATTAGCAATAATGCAATATGCAGGTGCTCCCCAAATCTCCTTTTGCCAGTCTTCGTACCTGCTCTTCAGGCAGTTACCTCAGCATCACGGACAGAAGCAAATTAAATAAAGCAGGTGGCAGTACGTGGTGAGCAAAAGTACAGATTAAGATGCTTAGTGTGTTTCATGATAAATGATCCTCAGATTGTTAACGTCTCCTAAGCATCTGACACCCAGTCCTTGTGCAGACCACCTCCGCATGTGTTTTCTCATTCAATAATGCATCTTCAAGGCTAACACTTTTGCATAAAAGGGTGCAAGGCTGAGAGGCATTGGCTCTACCTCACAGCCAGGAAGTAGTGACTATCCTGATTAACACAATGGATCTGAGTGTTCCTGATGCTGTTGCAAAATGATAATAGGAGGAATCATTCCCAGCTGGCTGGCCCTGCACTTTTCTACACACCCTCTTACTAAAACAACCAAGCCCTTGAAAAGCAGCCCTGCCTGCCCTCTGGTGGAGCGCCACAGGAAACAGAAGGGACCCAGCAACATTTTAGGACTCCAGGGAACCCAGTGTGCTTCTCCAGCCCTCCAAATCCTGCCCACACCCTGTGCTGTAGCAGCAGGCAGCTGCCCTGCCTTCCAGGCCACACCTTTCCACGCCTCTGTGGCTGCATTCGACCTGCCTTGGACCTGACAGGACCTTTTCCCTCTCTGCCAACTGACAGAATCCCGGACCTCCTTCAAGACCCAGCTCAGACATCAGCCCATCGTGGAGCTGACCCTAAGTCCTGCATAGCACATAGTACGAGGCCGGGTTCGCTGTGAGCTTTTGTTGTCCATTCTTTAATGTAGATCTGCAGTCATATAAAATGTCCGGCCTCTTCTACTTTACACTGAGTTCCTTTGAGAACACAGACCCGGTCTTTCATTTTCTTGCCTCAGGTGTAGATGTTTAACGATTGCTGGTTGAATGATGTAAGTCATACATTTTAAGAATTAAATTTAAAAAAGAATGTAGAAGTGCTTAGCCAACTAAAAGTAAGAATTACGGTAAAATAATATTCAGATGCAAGCATACTTCCAAGAGGCCTTGCAAAAAGCCTGAGGCAGGTAAAAAGTACCTTTTATACTGTTCTAGTCTGTTGTAGCGCCTCTTGGCTTCATTTCTCCCAAGACAGAGACACCAAATCCTCTGATTGCTTCTCAGCACCCTTGGGCTTCTGATTTGCCATCTTCTGCCACCTCACTCCGAAGTCTTGGTCCTCCTCATTTGTCCTGTCCCTGCTTTGGCTGGTAGGCTGGGTTGAAATTACACACTGTGGCAGAAAATGTAACTCTGTATACCATTACTGCATCACCTCCGTCTTCAGCCCCTTTGGTCTTGTAAGGATAAAATAGACTGTCTCAGCTATATTACCAGAATGGCGTCTGAGGTTGAACTGAGCCAATCCTGAATTCTGCCTTCTCCTCTTGTCCTTCTCTCCAATGTGACCTAAGTTCTCAGAAGTCAGACTGTCACCTTGGGTTGAGGGGAGCATGGGGGAGACTGAAGCCTGAACTTTGTGCGGGTCCTCATGCGTCCTGCCTTGCTGCCCAGAAGTGCACCCGGTCCCACCATTGTGCTGGTCTGGTCATGGTCCCTGCTCACTAAGCTGCTACCATCTGTGGCCTTGTTCGCCCAGCCCAGGCTTACTCTAGGCCTCCGATTTCCCATAGGGAGGCAGGGATGCCTGGATTGCAGACGCAGGCTGGACACAGGCCACAGGGATGAGGGAATGTCTCCGGCCCACTGGCCCAGACAGCTCCCACCACCAATCCTTTTCTCTCTCTCTCAGGGCCTCTCCATGGGGATGGTGATTTTTCTGGGTTAATTCTAAGAGGTGAAGAAAATCCCTTCCCATCTGGAATTCTCCAGAAATTACCTGAGTGTTTCTGCCATAATCAGTTTATTTACCCTCCTCTCACACTCACCCAGATTCATAGACAGCAGTCTCTCTGGCTTCGCCTTCCTGCTCTAGAAGCAGTTTCCATTTTCCCTTCCTTCAGGCAGGAACCTCTTCCTTGGGTCAAGTGCGTCTTTTGGGTATTTCACCTTTTCCGGTCTGAAACAACCATCTCAGCCCTGAGGCCTTGTGTTCAGGGAAAAGGGGACTACTACACAGGAAATGCTGCCCAGAATGTTGCCCTGTTAACTTGGGTGTGTGCCCCTCCTAGAGAACGCATCACCTCCAGGTAAAATGAACCTAGGCTCCCCTGAGACATACATGGCTGTAGGGTGTTTTGGACATCAAAACGGGAAAAAGGTCTTGAGTTCTCTAACCCTGGAACCCCACCTCAACGGAAAATGGCCACTCTTCTGTGGGCAGGACAGTCTCTGCTGGGCAGAGTGCCCCAGATGACCTACCAGAAAGCGGAGAAATGCATGATTTGGGGCAGAAGTAAAACCAGCAGGTTTTTCTCTCTGGGTGTGTGGAATTTGGTTCTGCTTAGTTCCCCCAGAGCTCGTTCCTATGCAGTCCTTGGAGGAGTAGGTACCAGACTCTGGGGTTAAAGATCCAGCCTAAAATGGCTCAATTTATAAGCCAAAAAGTGGACGTTGGCCTAGTGTCTTGCCAATCTCCTGCTGTGTCCGGGGCTTAGAATGTGGAGTCTTCCTTGTTTACCCTCTCCTCCCCACACTCCTTTTCCTTCTCCCTGAGCAGCTCTGGGATGAGCTAGAGACTGGGTCTGACCTCAGGAAGCTCTTTCCCAGGGTTTCAGCTTTGGAAACTGGTGTGCCCACAGCTTGGGCCTGGGTGGGTTTGCACCCGGTCATGCTGTCACCACTTTTCCCCGCAGGATGGGACGGCACCACTGTGGATTGCGTCGCAGATGGGCCACAGCGAGGTGGTGCGTGTGATGCTGCTACGTGGAGCCGAGCGCGATGCTGCACGCCATGTGAGTGTCTATAGGACTGGGACACCTGCAGAGCCACTCAAAAAGCCAGCTCCAGACCCAGCGGGTGTGCGCACAGAGAGAGGTGTTTATGTAGTCTGCAGCTCACCTGGGCGCCTCTCAAACTTCACCTGCTCTTTCGTTGGAAAACAAAGTCCAGTTTGGTGGAAATTCAGCAAGTGTGCTGGCTGGTTGTCCTCCACCTGGGGTGACTTCTGGAGCGACTCTCCTAGCTACAGATCCCTGCACACATCCCCCTTGTGCCTGCTGTCCGCTGCACTGTGATTGTGCCTCTGCTGGCCTCACAGCAGCCCCTGTGGCCCAAAGGAGCAAGGAACACCTTGGGGAGAGCAGCACACACTGGGTTCTGTGCCTTTTGTCTCCCTGAATCCAGCTTCTTTGCCTTCGCATTCCCTTTGCTTATGTGACCCACCTGCTTGCTGAGCCCAGAAGAGACAAAACTGAAGGCACATTCATGGCCACTTCACTGTGGGTCCTTCTTCTGCCGGGTCTCTCCTTCTTCCTGCTGGCTGTGAATCCAGGAAGGAAAACATCCCCTAATCCTACCTGCCTCCTTCCTTATCTGAAGCCAGATAAGCCCTAAGGCAGGCCAAGGCAGGACCCAGGCCACAGTGCCCAAGCCAATCTTGCAGACACAGCCTGTTCGTTAAAGCAGGAGACGCTCAGAGGAAGTCCAAGAACCTTCTTGGGTCAAAAATGATGACATTGACAGAAGCCAAATGTTCTTCAATTTGAATTTGCCTTTGTCCTCTTCTGCTGCCTCCTCCTCCTTCTCTTCCTTCTCTCTTTTTTTTTTTAAACACATTTTGACCTATCTGCGCTCTTCCTCTTACAAGGTTATACAAATTTTTAAAACAGTAAATCAGGTTGAGTGATAGCTTAAATCATTAAAGATAGTTAAACAGTCATTATTTTGCTATATCATTAATAGCAGAGAATGCCTCTTGAGATCATCAGTACTTTAAAAGTGAAATTTTGGAATTCTTGTGGGATCAAATTCCCAAATAGCAGGGTTTAGAGATGATATAAACCAGTGGTGGGGAACCTTTGAGAGCTTTCAGTGACAAGGACTGCTGGGTCACGCATGCCATAGGTTTGCCACCACTGATGCAAGTAGTCCCGTATTGTGTCTCGTCCTCTTTCATGCAAACTGACTGCTTACTCTGCTCTAATGCTCCTAATGGAGACACTGTCAATTCTTGCTGTGTTATAACTTTTGCCTATTTCAGACCAAAGGCTTTGCTGCCAGTTCTCAACTGACATTTTGTTCTGAGTCAGCACAAATATATGTAAATAATCAACTTTTAATTTCCCATTCTCTCCTCAGGATGGTACCACAGCATTGTTAAAAGCAGCCAACAAGGGGTATAATGATGTTATAGAAGAGTTGCTTAAATTCTCACCCACTCTTGGTCTTTTGAAGGTAAGACCTAAAGAAAAAATATACTGATGTATAAAGGAAATAGGTTAGAAAACCAGCCCCTACTGGGGTCTCCAATAGCATCTGAGTATAATCAGCCTGGTTAATGTATTCTTTTTACTTTTCTTTCTTTCTTTGTTTCTTTCGTAATGGTACTAGAACACACTTCAAACTTGTTAAACTTGCTAAAGATATATGGCAGAAATGAGAAGATAAAAAACAAAGTCTGTGAGTACCTAGTTTTCCAGGGGAAAAAAATGTAATGAAATAGATAAATTAGAAAGTAAACCATTTTAGTATCATTTGGAAGATCTGTAAAATCAAGAAAGAACACACACTTACGCCCTTCTTTCCCTTGAGCAGAGAACCATTCTACTTGGTTACCTTAAATGAAATAAAATTAGCTTCCACTGCTTGGAAATGTAAGGATATATGACTTTGCCGAGTCCTGAGTCTTCCGGAATACAGAACCCAGCAATTGTTTGGCAAGCTTTTATCATTTTGGACCAAAATCTTTCTAAACTGTAGCATATACATCAGCAGTTAGTGAGCTCTCCATAAAGGACCAGACAGCAAACATCATAGGCTTTGCAGGCTGCCTGGATTCTGCTGAAGCTGTTCAACCCTGTCATGGTTGCAGGAAAGCAGCTCGAGAAAGAAATGACAAAAGGAGGGGGCTGTGTCCCCATAAACTTTAGTTATGGACATTGTAGTTATGAAATTTCTTATTTTCACATATTATAAAATATTTTCCTTTTATTCTTCTTGAACATCATTTTTAAATGCAAAGACAGCCCTTAGCTCACAGGACCACAAAAACAAGCTGTGTCCTAGATTTGACCCAAGGCCATAGCTTCCTGACCTCCAAGTATGTGTGTCCCTGCTTTCTTAAATAGAGAGTGCTTAGTCTTTTCTAACGTGGCACAGTGACTTAGTAGTCACTCAATGTGTATAAAGTCTGTTCACCCTTGAATAGCTCCAGGAACTTTTAGGATACCTCTATCTGCCCTATGTATTTTTAGACTCCATTCTTGCTGTCAGCTAATACAGAACTGCTGTTGTCATGTATTGGTTCATCCCCACTCCTAACAAGCCCTTTCTAATCTTCTATAAACCTGGAAGCCAAAGCCTGAAAGCTGTACTTGTTAAAATTTTTTGTAAAGTAAAAATGTGCCATCTGTAAAAGTGAATTCTGTGAACAAAAGAAAGTAGCTTTAAAAATGGACTTTGCAATATCCAGTCTAATCTTTAACAAGTCTTTTTTTTTTTTTTTTTTGGCTTTTGTTTTTTATTAGCAAATAGGCAGAGTTGATACACTGGTTAAGATTTAGGCTTGTGAAGTGTTACCAGATTAATGATTTGCAGACATAATGTGGAAACAACCTCAGAAAAATGCTACTTTGTCGCAACTTTTCTCTGGATGTGACATCTTCCTTATTACAGGTCATTAACTAAGACTCCAGACTTACAACTTACAAAAAGATATACATACCTTCTGGAATGAGTGTCCTGTTATCACCATCACTGTTACATGGTTTGGTTACCCTTCTCCATTCCCAGACCCAGCTCCCTGCCGCCTTCAGCTGCTCCCTTATTTAGCTAAACACTTGTGCTGTTTCTTAATGTCAGCAGCCCAGCTCCTAGGCCCTTCTGTGCTCAGGCATGATCTGTGTCGGGGCCAGGGAAGTGGCCTCAGCCAAGCGCTTCCCCTTAAGCCCTGTAATTCCACGGTTTCTCCTGCTAGCCCCAGTGGGCAGATTGTTTCTGGCCCAACAGGAGACATTTAAGAAAAGACAGGTTGGCACAGTCGTGCTGTTTTCTCTGCAGCGGAGTTCTGAAGTTACTAGAGTGACCATGCAGTCACGTGCACCCTGGGGGCCGGCTCGCATGTTTCACTTGCAGAGAACATTGGCAGTATTTCTCTGACCACAGCTGTGTTCCTAAGGACGCCATACTAGGCGGTGATGCAACTTTGACACTACAAGGGAAGATAAGGAAGAGTGAGACTTGATATTGCAGTCTCATGGCCGAGCTAGTTTATGATAAGAGCCAAAGCAAGTGCTTACTGACGCATGCTGTCGTTCTCTCTTAGAATGGCACAACAGCGCTCCATGCGGCGGTGCTAAGTGGGAATATTAAAACAGTTGCCCTGCTCCTGGAGGCGGGGGCGGATCCAGCCCTGAGAAACAAGGTATTCACTTAACCTATCTGCTAGCTCCACTGGGCCCTCCCTGTGCAGAGACAAGGTGGCATCCTCCTGAGCTCTCTCTGGCTCTGGCTGCTGTCTTCATACTTAGATTATGTGTGACAGGGGCACCAAGGGACCCTGTTAGTAAGTTACTCTTGGGCAGCATGTTGGGACCCACATCACGAAAGCTTTCCATTAACAGTGGTGTAGGCTCTTGGCAGGGATGAGGGAGGAGTCAGTAGTGATGTCCTGTCATCAGAGATGTCCCCTGAACATGTCCAGCTCTAGCGGTTTATCGCTGTTCTTCTCTTCAGAGTTGCTTGTGCTGTTTGGTGACTACCTGGGGAAAATGTTGCCTTGACAGGGTTAATATGGCTGCATGCCTCCGTCATGACACCGACTCTTTTTTTAAAGATATAATTCTAAATCCTTATTTACAACTAGGCTAAACTTGGAAGTCAGCGAGTACACAGTAACAACTGACAAAATGATTGTCATTGTATTTACTTCTGTCTGGGTCTGCTTTAAGCTGTATTCACTTAATATACAAATGGGGGCGATTTCAGCCAACATCTAAATGACTAAGCATTGAAGGAGGACAGGGGGTTGGCATTTATTAATAGGGGAAGATATGAAAAGATATTTTCATTTTCCTCCATACTCATGTACTCTGAATTTTTATGTGTCTATTACTGTATTAACATTTTTAATAGTAAAAATCAACAAAACCAAGATAGAGATATAGCTCAGTGGTAGAGCACTTGCCTAGCACATGTGAGACCCTGAGTTTGATGCTCAACATTGCAAAAAATAAATATACAGCTCTGTACACATATACCCATATGTATATATGTAAATATATGCATATGAAATACACACTTCATACCATACACAAACGCACATACACTTACTTGTGTGACTTTTTGAAAAGGAGCCGTTAAGAAGTGCTGGTTAAACTACAGGCCAAAACCAAGAGTCACTTTTTCCCGCCATTTTACTTGGCGTATAGAAGTATTACCTCCCCACTCCCAGCGCTAAACATTTCTGCTTATCTCTTCCTGAGATACCCAGGTTTGTGTTCCATGAGCTGGCCTTGCTGTGAGATAAGCCACTTGAAGTCATAATTGCCTTTCCTTGGAAGTTTGTCTTTAGACTTGTACACAGACTTCCTAGAAATCAGTCTTTGTTGATGTGGTATCCAGGGCTGACTTAAGGCAAAGGGGACATGTTAGTACCTTCACATAGAAACTGAAAACACAGTTCCTCCTAGAATAGTGGAGTCATCACCAGGGGTAACGGTTCCAGGTAATCTCTAGGGGTTGAAATGCTAGGCTCTGACCGTCCTGGAACTACTAGAGTTTATGTGTGGTTGCTCATGTTGGCAAATGCCTCAGAGTCCTAGCGTATCTGCCCAGTAAGGCAGAAAAGAAGCCCTCATTGCCTATCAGCCATGAGAGAAGCCAGCATTTTAATGGCAACTCCAGAAGCAAGGGTGCTGGGATTCTAGCAGCTACCTAGAACGCTTGAGAGGGTATTCTTGGTCTTCACTAGTTCATTCACTCATTCATTCATTCACCAATAGGCTGGGATTGGGCACCTGCTAGATACCACACATAATGCTCTGTGCTGGGCTTGCAGTGGTGAATTAAGGTTCACATTGCCTGTGCTTTCATGGAGTTCAGAGCTTAGCATAGAATACAGACAGTTAAACAGTTGCAATGTAGAGGGAGAAGAACTAAAAACAGGAAAATAGCAAAGAGTAACCTCTAAGCCAGTGTGGAAACTCTTCTGCTCCAGAGGTCCCAAGATTTCAGCCCCAGGTCTTCAGTGCTAGTGCCTGCAAGATTAAGTGATGGTGCTAAGAGCCATTCCTCCTTCTATACACATTCCCAAGGGTGCAGGGGTCTTGTGGTTCCCACACCCCTACTGAGCACTGAAAGTACATCTCGTGGGGACAGTGGGTCAATACAGTGTCGCATCTGAGATACTGACCACAGGTTCTGCTCTATCATGAATGAGCTGGCCATTAAGGGTAGTCTGGAGCGTGAGCCATTTGTTGAATCACAAGTAATACTAATGTATGTGATCTGCTCCACATAGCACAGTAAAATGTGAGAACATTTAGAGGATCTATGTAACTCAGTGAACAAATGAACAGCACATGATATTACAAGTCCTGCATGGGAAAGAGGTCCTCCTATAAGTAGAAGATCTAGCTAGGTGCGGTGGTGCACACTTGTAATCCTAGCACTCTGGGAGGCTGAGACAAGGAATGTAAATTTGAACCAAACCTGGGCAATTTAGCAAGACTCTGTCCCAAAGTAAAAAGTAAAAAAAAAAAAAACAAAAAAATGCTTAATGATTTATAACATGTAGGCCCTGCCCTCCAGATTAGTTTGGTGAGGATCTGGCTGAATAGAAAAATAAGTTTAACAATGAGATAAGAAAATGACACCTGTCATTTGTACATTTGAAGGAGAAAGGAGGGGGATGTCATAGGCAGCTGAGTTAATTAGAAATATAGGCAGTCAGACAGGGCTAGGCCCTCAAAGAGGCCTGTGCATAAGACCAGATACCTTGCATAAGACCAGATACTTTGATCCTACTTCTGGAGTCCATTTCTCATGCCATGAGTAAGTAGAGCTGATAAACTGTGGAATCTTGAACTTCCAACTCCACTTTGCTTAATACATCTGGCCCTGCCTTGGAGGAGGGCCAGATCTCAAGACAAAAGGCAGAACAAATGCAACCACACCATAAGTATAAACCTCAGGGTCCTTATAGGTATTAATCACTTGGGAAGCCAGAAGGAGCCACTAACCCAACCCCTACAGTCAAAGGCCCTGTTCCCCTTGCTATATGACTCACTTCCCTGTTGGATCCTGATTTAATCGATCTTACCTGAGCATAATTGCTTATTGGTAATCTTATTAGTTGACCATAGTTCTGTCCCATCTCATGCCCGCCTGCTTTGCCGGTTCCCATTTTTTCCCCCACCATGGGCCCACCTCACCTCTATAAAAATCCCCAGAAAAGGCAGGATCCTTGGCAACCCACTTGGGATCCCTTCTGTCTCTCTCTAGGACAGTTGCTTTCTTTTTCTCAGTATATTCTACTCTTTATCTTAATATAAAAGAGAGTCCAGTGGGAGTTTTTTCATTACTCAAAAGTGTGGGTTAGATGCCCTCATGTAGGCCCTAACACCGCCCCAGCTATGGGAATTCACTAATATTCATCTCATCCTTTTTTAGGCCAATGAACTTCCAGCAGAACTAACCAAAAATGAACGTATATTGCGTCTCCTCCGAAGTAAAGAAGGTCATAGGAAGAGCTAACTTAGTTCCATGTTGACAGAAAGACAGACGATATCCACACTATCAAAAAAGAAATTACTTTTCAAACAGGGTTGGAAATTCTTTTAAGAACAAGTATGCCCAGAAAGCTCAAGCTGTGGGTGGCCATGCTTTATGCACCAAGTGAAGAAGGGACTGGGGGGTCCCTTCCCTACCTTACAGTGGGCTTCTCACACTGGCCCAGCCCTCAGCTCTAGGCCTGACACAGAGACAGGTTCCAGCGGAACTGTGCTAACTTAGGTCTCCCCATTAAACTTGAAGTTAGACAGGGTTTCCAGTACTAAGCAAGAAGACAGACAGTTTTGTTCATTTAAAAGATGGGAAGACTGACCTTCAACCAATGGATGCGCTTTTGCTTATTTGTTAAATGTAAAGTACTAAAGTATATAGATCTATCCTGTTTTACATATATGTGTATGTTGTTCCAGTGTAAAACGTTTTCTTTCACCCAAAGATGATGGTTATTGGGAATCAATAAGGTTCAAACCTGCATTATTGGGAAATAACTTGTGACATTCTGCCACATTCTATTCAAAGATGGACTTGTGCACTCTAGGACAGACAAATTATATGTTTGCTAATTAATCCTCGCCTCATTCATGACGTGTGAAAATTATTTTCACTTACTTGATATTTTAGGTATGCTAGGATACCAGTGGCAAATTTGGAAATCCAGAAAATTATAAGCCATGAGAAATTTAGGCTTGTCTTGAGCATTTACTTTGATCCTACTTCTGGAGTCTATTTCTCATGCCATGAGTAAGTAGAGCTGATAAACTGTGGAATCTTGAACTTCCAACTCCACTTTGCTTAATACGTTGACTTTGAGGTCCTCAGATAAAATGTAATATATACCAGTATGATGTACAGCTATGAGTACTACAGGAGTATAAGTACTAAAGATGCCTGTTAGTGTTTAATAAGCACTCATCTATGATGTTCTTGGGTTGATTGATTCCAAGAAAGAATCCTGAATTTTAACGAATTATTCCTTCAAGGGGCTAAAATTTATTTTCAGTGCACTTTATGATCAATGATGTCTAACTGCCTCTGTCTGTGCCTAACTGCACTCACAAAAACTAAACCTTTTTCCGATAATCTACCATAATAAACACCACTATTGTTTCTGTTATCTGTAAATTGTCAATTTTCCTGTTCATATTTGCACTGGTTTCCAGCCAGTGTTCTATGTAAAGACATGTTAAAATGGAGGAAAATGCTTAATCCCAAAATAACTTTTATTTATCTTCCTGTGGTACTAAAAACATCGTCTATAAGGCACTAAATGATAAAATGTGATTTTTGAAGTTGGAAAATATTTCTTTAAATTTGTTTATGGTTAATGCAATAAAAATCAGTATATTTGGGTCAACGTCACAAGCAAAGCTAGTAATAGTGACTCACAACTTCAGAGATGCAGCTTGACTAACTGCAAAAATCCTCAATCTCATTTCAAAATAAAAGATTAGACAAGAAAAAAAAAAGATTGGACAAGTCTGTTGCCAAAACACCAGACAGAAAGTATCTGGTAACTAGAAAGCAGTGCCAATGACCTTCTTGTGTTCAGTTACCCAAGTACACATTCTCTCCTAGGGCAACTTCAAAAAGCTGTGTTCATTTTGAGGAGGAAAATAATGTGGCCTTAAGTAC